TAATGCATCGAAGCAAGAACAACGCTGCTCCAGTGGAAGCTTTTCTAGTCTCTGGCATAGAAAACGTTTGCTTTTGCCGAACATTTTCATCATATATGTTGCAACTACCTTCTGGACCGCAAAATTGTCTTGTATTACCATTATAAATCCACTATCATTAGCTAATCCTGTTCACCATCATTAACTAACCCTACCCACCACCATTTAATCGGAAAAGTAGGAGCCCTGCAGTGCAGTACAGGGAGAATTCTTTTAACTTATATCTTCTGATCTTAAGCTCATTTTAAATACGCGGCTTCCCGTCAGGAAAATAATTGACACGAATTGTATGTGCAGAACGGTTTCTGCCGGAAGAAACCCTCTAATAAAATTTCGACGACGAAAAACAGCAAATATATTAAGGAAGATATTTCGACAACGGAAAAGAACAAAAATATTAGGTAAAGATTCTGAAGTGATATAACATCAACGTTGAACATCATAAAATTTTCAGTGAAGGTGGGGGAGTGTTCAGCTCGTAGGGCATTATATCCTACATGTATGTGTGAGACTCGATCGCAAGAGAACCATTCTCGGTAGCAACTGAAGTATGTTGGATGCGGTTGAAACTGCGAGCGAACACCTTACACTGTAACATTGATGATGTTTGCAGGCAATTTTCAAATGACAAACTTTATAATAAACTAGCAGCGTTGGAGATAGGGAAGATGGAGAGATGAACATCTCTCCATCTTCTCCATGAACATCTCTCCAAAGATGGAGATAGGGAAGGGACATCTATTGAAACTCGTTGCGGTGCTGACAAAAATACAAACGTAAACAAATCAATCATCGGATGGCAGATCCACGTCAACGATGAATATAAATTGAAATGGGAAATAATGAGAAGTGAATGATATTAGAGCAACGATACAGAGAGATAAACGGGCTGCTCTGCTCTATGATGATAGCTATAAATGCCTTAGTTATTGAAACAGAATACAGATCAATAGAAGTAGGAAGATAAACGCGAGAGAAGAGTGTGCGACTCTGGTGAGGCACTACACTCACGAGGCGAGGTGTAACCGATATGAGCGGCTGTGACAGGCCCACAAGAGGTGGTCATGTTCGTCAGGTGTAACGTGTTCCATAACTCGTACATCTGCAGAGGCTCCATATCATGACCAACAGATAGGTTCTGGTAGAGACAAGGATCTCTTGGATTAGTTTTGTATGAAAAGTCTACACTATCCTGCGGCGTGACCCCAATCTTCTGTGCTAAAATGCCGGTGATGTAGACATCCTCGAGATGGAAGAGCGGCGTGAGCATAGCGGCCTCAAGAAGAGGGGTCAGCACGCTGCTGGACAAAATATAGGCCGTGCCTGATAAATAATTGGGATAATGATCCCCTGCATACATGTAATGGGGAGAGTACCATTTGCTTCTTGGGTCGACGGTGATCTGTGAGTTGCAGATAATGAATCCCATGATGAGCTTTTCTGTGGTGTCTTTGGTAGTTAAAGTTCTGTGCAAGTTCGGGACATGTAAGAAGACGTCATCATCAACCTTGGCTACGTATTTGACGTTTGGGCAATTCATCTTTACGTACTTGATAAGGAAGAGGCTCTTCAAAGTTAAATTGAAGTAGGTATCAATGAAGTTTTCGACAACCAAATCTCCGTGTGCCTTCTGTTCGTTCATCAGCGCAGCGCTGACAGGAAACCCGCCGTTTTCTTCCCGACCCAAAACAAAGAGAAGTTTTGTTTTGAGTGTACGATTGAGCTTGGCAGAAGTAAGATGCTGCACATTAGGTACCAAACGAGCACGCATGCCGTGAGCTGAAGCTGAAGCAGCTGCCCCTTCTTCGCCAACAACTGAATTTGCAACCATCATCAAGTTACTCATCTCGTCAAGATGATGAGAGTTCGTCGACTCTGCCATCGTCTCCTGCAGATTCGGTTTGTCGATGTAATCCTCCCATACGACATAAAAGCTCTCCTCATGCTCGTCAGTGGAGGCATTTGTCCAGTCGATCTGCTGTAAAGGGCTCTTGGAATTTGACGCTTTGCCCATTTGATGGACCCATTGACCGTAGGTATTCCTGATGGCCTCTCGCCGTTCGATGTTACCAGGACTGCTCGGTACTACCACCAACAGAAATTCATCTCCTGAGCAACGCACGCGGGGTGTCAACAACAACGGACCCTCAGCAGGAATGTAAACTGACACGTTGCGCTCACTTGAGTTCGTCCACGGAAAGAAACCTGTGACATTATTGTATTATTTGCATCTTACATTACTACATTACATTGTGAAATTGTTTGCGTATTATTCAACAGAAACTCTCCATGAATGTTAGTATACCAGTATAACACTGTTATCGTTGATTAGGCCGTCAGACTGTCGCCGATTCCTAACATCACAGAATTTTCACAGCTTGTTGTGGGATCTCCAACATACAATTCACTTCCTTAATTTTGCTGTGCTTAACCGCCCGGCTACCCCGTAACTTTGACCAGAAATGCTGCAGGTAGCTGGGATTGAACCCACAAAGCACTGCTCTAATTTTGGAACTCCTATAGCTGAACTGTAACCATTGGCCCTGCCCATTCAACTGTCAGTTGTGATAAAATTTTCCCCGTTGAGATTTCCTTTAAAGTAATCATCAGAGTTCCAAGCGATGCTTGGTTAGGTTGGAAGTCATGGCTTTAAAAATACTGGAAATTGCGCTGCAATGCATTGAAGTACAAGTGAGGCAACCAATCAGGGCGCTGGAATACAGACCTATCTCCCTTAGCAGTTTTGACGTGTCTTACTGGAAGCTAGTACCTGCCTGCTTCCGGCCTGCTTGAGTTCAATTCAGTTATTTAGTAGAGGAGCATGAGATGCGCTTGCTTCGTAGTCAGCGGTATGTTTACGTATGGTCACCAAAAGAAGACACAATTTTAGAAGAAATTCGACAAAGCCGAAATATTATTGGCCCGTAAACACAAAAGAAAATCGCAGTTAAGATTTCAACTGCCAAACCACTGAAATTCGCCAATTAAATTTTATTACAAGATTATTTGCAGTATTTGCTAATTATGGTTGCTATTCTAAAGTTGATTGTTTATGCAACATACGTACAGGAATAATTGAATGCGCGCCAGCAGAACAGTTTAACTAACTAAAATTATTATTATTTATGCAACAGTGTGGCACTTTATAAAACTATTATTAATGCAACCACTGGGCAGGGTGCCCAGTGGTTAAAGTTCAGAGTACCAAGATTGGAGCAGAGAGGCGCGGGTTCGATCCCAGCTCTGCGCGCCAGTTTCTGGTCAGAATCGGCGAGGAGGCCGGGCGGTGTGCCCACAACAAGCTGTGAATGTTCTGCAATGCTAGGAATCGGCGACAGGCATACGGTCTAATAAACACTAAATCCGCTATATTATATTATAACACAGATTATCCACTTACTTGGAGGTTCAAAACTGTGACGATGAAAATTGTGACGATACCCAAGCAGGGACATGATGAAGACGGCCGCAACGAGCAGCAGTGACCGTCTTGACCGTAACCTGCCCTGCATTTCCTGCACACAACAACTGATGTCAACACTTATCCTTTCATTTGTAATTCAGGCAGGAATACCATTATGAGTCAAGCACTAATACCACTGAGGATCTGTCAGTGTTACCACTGGGAAACAGGCAGGAATACCACTAGAAAACAGGCAGGAATACCACTGGGAATCAGGGAGTGATACCACTAGGAAACGGGCAGGAATACCACTAGGAAACGGGCAGGAATACCACTAATTTATTAAAAACGGTTAAGGAATGTTACCTCGTATCGTCAATAGCAGGTGAAAATTAAACAGCTGGCATACGCGTCGTGTGTTTTGTTCACTATGAACTAAATGTTATGATGTAAATAATCTAAATTAGAAATTTTCATTTGTTAATATATGATACTAGCTTTACTACTATCAGTTGCACATTCACTGCATGAATTACTCATGAATAAGATGCATAGTATCTTTAAAATAAATGACAATAGTGAGAATATTGTCATACCAAATGTCTGATTTAAATTATTATTACCATGATTGCAGAAATTCTGATTTCCATGATAATAAAAAAGCAAATATAAATGCTTTATGTTAAAAGCAAATAACATGAGCTATAACCACAACGATACAAAGTATCATGGTACGCAGTATCATTGTAAAATTATTTGTAGTGATATTTGCGAACTCCTACATTACAGCTACATGAGACTAAACATTCATATTATGTTTGCATAGTTAATGGAATACGAACAATACTTGTTTTCATGAATAGGCAATAATATGTAAATATGGTCCAGCTGGTCGTAAATGAGCATAATAATAATAATAATATTAATAATAATAATAGCGGTTTCAGCGTTTAGTAGGCCGTAGGCCTGTCGCCGATTCTTAACATCGTAGAACATTCACAGCTTGTTGCGGTCTCAAACACGCAACTCACTGCTACAATTCTGCGGTGCTTAACCGCCCGGCCTCCTCGCCGATTCTGACCAGAAACTGTAGCAGGTAGCTGGGATCGAACCCGCGCCTCTCTGCTCCAATCCTGGTACTCCTGAACTGTAACCACTGGGCCACCCAGTGCGTTAGTATCATGCGTTTGTATATAGA